ATTGCAGCTTGATTTTTTTCCCCACCTAAAATTATCAGTCGCTAAAAAATAAATTTGAGTGTATTTGTTCAGGACCAGATGGGTTCAGTCATCTTTAGAATTAGGGTTGTTGGTGCAGATGGAGTCAAGGTCATCTAAAAGAATCCAGCCTGAAGGGTACAAAAGTCCCTACAAAAACTGAATCTCCAAGGGAAAGAAGGTTTGCTTCTGCACTCAGGCTGAACTATGGAAAGAAATATGGTAGGTTTTTGGACAGGGATATTTCTCAACTTCTACTGCAAGAAAAGAGAACATAAAGATTCTGCTTGACTAGCAAAGTTTTACTGATTCCCAGCAGATGGGTAAAGAAATGAAAGGAAAATGATACAGTTGGAGGCTTGTCTCCTTTGTGTTGTAGCTGGAAAGTTGGGTTTTAGTGGCCCATGCATTGCAACCTAAAGGGAGATTGTCAGAAGTCTCCAAACTGGAAAAGAAAGATAAATCAAATCTCTGCATCTAATCATTTTTCCTTATCAGTCTTGTCTGTGACTGAGATGACATTTTGAATATGACATAATACATTCTGCCCTTGTTGTAAGACTCTCTCTTATAATAGACTTTGATATGAATCCACTCTATCATGCTTTCCCTTGTCATTAAAACACATGAAACCCCATGTTATAATAACATCATCCACCAAATTTCAAATTAACCTGGAGGTACTGCTGTACAGAACTATATGCTATTATTATGCTAACTATTATTTTCATGTTTTTTCCAGATCACAGACATAATGTGACTCTGGTCTCTGGATATTTAACTAAACAATCAAACAAAAAAACACAAGAAGCAGATTTCCATTTTACTTTCAATGGTTTTACTTTACTTAATTTTTTATGCCTGCTGTTTTCACACAGTTCCAAAAGCCTAAAATACAACTCACAAAAACACTGAGATTGAATGGCAGCAACTTATACTCCTTATAATTTACAATTCTCAGTCACTCCAGCCTGGCTTGTGCCACCTTTACCTGTGTCCCACACATCAGTAACCCAGCCTGAACACATGCATCCAACTCCAACCCCACAAGGAAGTATCAGTGCTCCACCTTCACTATGTCTTCACTCCATTTTGAAAACGGAACTCTTTGCAGCATCTCCCACCTGCGTGCTTCTCATTCAGCCTCTAATTCAAAAGTACCAATCCTGAAGTCCAGTGTTATACTCACTTTCATAGTTAGCCCAAATAATGCCAGGATGCAAATGAGAAACCTGAATGAGGTGCAGGAGAAATTAAAAATGTTGTTGGGCTGACTAAGTATTTTTCAAATGTCATCTTTAAAGAAGTTCAGCCTTTGTTATGGGAAGGAAAGAAACTGTGTGTCCCAAAATACCCTGCGCCTGAGAAGAAAAACAAAATTTTTAAGTGTCACAGAGAAATCTGATTTCTTTAGTCTTGTGCTTTCTTCATGGGGAAAAGCAGAGAAATATCTTGTTGCTTCTCTATTTCCCTCTCCTTTCTGCACACTCAAAAAGGTGAGGGGAACAGAGTGGAGTTTCAGGGAATGCATAGTCTTTCTTTAAGGTTGACATCTGCTTGTAAAATGTTTGCCTTGTGCCACCAAGTTCAGCACAGGTGAATGAAGCAAGATGGGGAAGAAGCACCATCAGTCTCCTTGCAGTCTCCAAGGGTTTATTTCTTGTCCTATTCCATGCCACCGGATGGGACATAGTTGCAGTGGTCTTACTGCACAACCAAATACAAACTGTGTCACATACTGAAAGCTCTCGTGTTCCACTTAGATTGCCCTCCCAGCCTGTATTTTAGGGGGAGGATATCATCCATATAAGGGCTGAGATCTCTTTTTAGTTCTTTTTGCAACATTGCACAACAGGCTCTTGAAACAAATCCGGCAGATAAGGCATTGCCACCCTTCAGAAGTGCATCTGCAATGTATGACCCAGCTGATCTTACCCAGGGGCTTGGAGGCACCAGAAAATTCACCCCATGTGAAGGAGAGCACCTTTCCTCCTTGCCTTGGGTTACCAAACCACTCCCGTAGACAGGCAGAGCAGTCCCATTTTTTTCTGCCCATACATCTTTCTCCTCTGGGTACAATATTCAATTACAGGACTGATGTAATAATGCAGTGTTAGTTCCAGCACCAAGTATGCTGAGTGGGACATCTAAACTCCCTCAGATGTGATAGGTCTGAAGAAGGGTAAATGGAAATGTAGGGCTGGAGGGGGCAGGCGGGAGCTGGGGCCCACACATACTGCAGACAAAGCAGCTTACAGGCATGTGGTGAGCTGGAGGCAGCACCACCATCAGCCAGTTACATGGCTGTGCTGTGTGGGGCCATGCATCTGATGATGAGTTGCGCCTTTTGCTGATCACCCTGCTCAGGATGAGGTGCTCCTCAGCTTAGCATCTCCAAGACATACTCCTGTCTACTCCAAAGTTTTTGGTGGCTGATCAGATCAAACACCCAACAGTGCTGTAACTCCTTGAAATTGTACAGGCAAGTAACGGAAGGCAAAACTGGAAAGCCCTGTTGTATTTTCTTCACTGTCTAGCTGAGGAAGGGAGGTTCTTGTGCAGAAAACTATCTCCAGCTGGCTGCAGCCTGGTGGGCATTGTATCTGGTCAGCACCACCCACGTTCCTCCACCACAAAAATGAAGGTAGACAGTAAGCACTAAAGAGGAATTGGCACCGCTAAGCTAGTTTGAAATATGTTGCAAATATTTCATGAAGTGTCTAAGGTGAGATTTATGGTCAGCATTCATTCAAAAGTATGTATAACAATTCATCCAGTGTCATACATTAGAAACTAGCTCTCCTTTTTAAAGGAAATTGCTCTGCTTTCACTCAAAATCTCTGCACTTCTTATGATCACACAGTATCTCATAAACAACTAATTCCAATGTGAGTTCTGTATGCTGCATATGATGTATTAAACCTAGTTTCACAGTACTTTATGATATAAAAAATAGTTACTATCTGTTTGGCTGGGTTTTTTTTTAATTTTTCTTGGGGATTTTTCACATCTTGATGGGGCTAAGACTTCACATATGTGTATGCTTATGGAGTTTGCATGCATATAAAATCATATCAGGATCTAAAATGTTTTGGAATGTTTAGAAAAGACCTAAAATCTTGATGGTTCACATTCAGATCTACATAATTTTCTTTTTTACTTAGAGGTCATGTTCTAGTTCAATCCTAATCATAATCAATCAACATAAGCCCCAGATAAGGATTGCCTGACAGCTGGATATTAGAAGAAAGCTCTTCTTCATGCATGTTTAAAAAACTCAACCATTAATCTTGCCATGAAATCTCAGTTAAATTATTGTGGAATATTACATCAAAGTTATCCACCGATCAGCAATGTGACTTATTTTCTGACAAGTACAACTTTGTCATTTTTATCTGATGGTCATCACATCTTCACACAAAAATAGCTTCCTTTTTTTCATTCTCTCCCTTTTTTACCAGACATGACTACAGTGCAGATTTGTATTCTTGGCATTCTCATTCAGTTTGATGAGTTTTAGGAAAGTCGAATTGTTGGTTTGTCCCCAGAAGCAAAACAAACACTGCCCTTAATTGATAACAACACAATTTAACTGCCCTATAAACAGTCATTTTAACTCCATGATATGTGGCTGTTGCTTCAACATTTAAGCAATGGAAATGACATCATTATCAGACAACTCAAGATGATGAAAAATGACTGACATTAGGGAACACTCTGAACCCAAGAATTCTTCAGCTATCAGTCATCACCATGATAATGTATTTTCTTCTATCTGCAAGTATAGACCTATGATGAGGATGAACTTGCAAGGGAAAGAAATACACTTTGCAGAGGATGTTTGTATAATTAAGCAGCAGCAAAAACACCCCAGAGATTCTGCATTTCTGCGGAGAATCTCTGCAGAGAGGCCCACAAAAGCCTGTATGCTGAGATTTCAGCCACACAAGAAATGTAATAATGTCCAAGGAATGTTGTCTTAGAGATGCTCTGTAGCTGTCAAAATAGAAACTTGTGGTGATTCCTTTGTAGCATGAAATTTGCTATTTTATGCCCAGATTTCCCAGTAAGTCGTTTGCCTGCTGTAAGCAGCATTGTGCAGTGTGCAGCATTGTACAGCAGTAGTACATGCTCTGCAGTGTCTGCTATTCCAAGGACAGCACCAAAACCTACAGAGCATAGAGTGCTCCCAAAAGCAGTAGCTGCACAGGAGCTTGTACAAATTGTGCTGAGATCATACACAGAGTCTCTGCCTCCCAAGCGAGCTCCCATGTAGTAGGAAGCGAAGTAATGAAAGAAGGTGATTTCAAGCTGAATGTGGAGACTGACTGAAGCAGAAGATCCTGCATGAGTTTTGGGTTAGGATGGGTGATTTCTGATTAGTGAGAGCTACTCAATTACAGGAAGCAGCACCCTGAGAAAGTAAAACTTGACTAAAGCCACCATACCACCTGTGCTGAGCGCTTGTAGCTTCCCAGCTGTGTTTAGATGGACAGAGGAATATCCAGGTCAGAAATAGCCAGGCAATGCAGGAAGCCTTGGAGAGACAGCACATTCCTGAGAGTTTTAAAGCAAAGGCTATGTTGGTAAGAAAGAATTGGAACTTCAGAAAATTCTGGGTAACTTGATTTTCTGTACTGATAAGAAGAATTTTAACTATTGAGTATGTCACAGCAAGGAAGAGCAAGGGGCCTTGGCATCCACTAGAGCAGCAATGCACTGGCAGGTCTCTGTTGCACTGTCCCTTACCAGAGACTTCTTCTACATCAGTGCATTGTCAGCTCTCCTTCCTCTGATAACTGCATGAATGCACAATTAATTCCCTGAAGCATGCCCAGCTATGACATGTAGCCTCCTGTACGCGCCAGGAATATCTGAGCATCCTGTAAGCAATCCTGTAAGCAATCCTGTAAGCAACAGGAAGGCACGTCTGTTCTTTTAGCCATTCTGGGTAACAAATTAAAATATAAAGCTCCACAGTGTCTGGTTGTTGCACTTTAGGTAAATGGAAAGAAGACTCTTCTTTAGTTATTCCACAGTTGTTTGTGAAGGGGTACGGTGAAAACTGGACAATGAAATCCCAGGTCTCATGGAAGTCCATCATTGCAGGAGTTCTGGAAATAATTTTTCAAGGTGAGAAGGTTCTTAAACTCAAAACAGTTTTCTATCAGTACAAAAAGAAGAGAGAAGCACTTCTTTACAAATACTAAGTTAAATATGTCTCCTTTTTCTTCTGTTCAAATGTAAAATAATTACAGAAAGACTTAGGAAATCACTATGCCAGAATGAAAGGTTTCCACTGACGTGATCTATGACCTTTCAAGACCTTTCAAACAATGATGTCGATACATAATGTAAATTTTATAACTCATTCAATTCTCACTCTACCAAAATAAAAAAAAATAAAAAAAAAAAATAAAAAAAGGAAAGAAAGAAAAGGAAGAAATTTTGAAATAGTTTTTTTCTTTTACTGTTCTAATGGATTGAATGGTACAGATCACAAACACCAGATCAAGCATCATTTTTCCAAAATCCCCAGCCTCAAGAATCTTATCACATCTTCCTATGTTTTATGTTCATCAACTCTCTCCATCAAAAGCAGGAAATTACAGGAAAAGTGCATTTCTTATTTGGGTTTTGCTTTGTTTTGCCCTTTTTAAGAACATGTCAAGAATGCTTTTTATTCCCGTGTTTACTAAAAGCTTGAAAATATGACTCATAGAGGCTCAAAAGCTGGCAATTAAATAAAAGGAAACACAGTTTTACAGCTCCATTATCCCAAAGTCAGTGCTGATCTTGGTGGTACAGGAGGGGGAGGCTGACGCATGTGTTTTCATGCTGAGGCTCAAGTTTAGCAGTGCTTCACAGCCCAGGGCATGGGCCACATGTGTCCTGTGATCCTCACTGAGGTTCAGCTCTGAGTTTTGAGCTCCCAAAGGGTAGAAGGGGCCACAGCACTTTCTGAACATACCCTGATTTCCATGCTGTATTTTTGTATGCTATAAACATCAGCAAAAATTCTGTCCTATGCTCAGCATGAGAAAGATTTCTTGCAGCAGTCTTTACACACTGAGCTTTCTAGCCAAATATAGGTACTGACATTCATCTAACTCTCATTACTACCATGCTTAATGATCCTGCAATCCCACTATTGTAGTGTGAAGGCATTTCAAAGGGAGCCTGAGATGGGCTCAGCCACATGCCCAGAAAGGAGTACTGTGGGACTTCTGGATATTGCTTGCTGCTTCCTTTGGCTGGAAGGAGTCACAGCCAGTTCTGGCTTCTCTGCCCGTAACTCAGCTCCTAACTGTGATGTAGCAGGGAGGGAAGATGGGAGGACTGGCTGTTTGCAAGCCCAGGGAAGTGTTGTCAAGAGGCTTGATTCAGGATCAGTGCTGGGGCAGAACTGTCACCTTTGTAGGTGAGGTGAGGAATCCACTGACCATTATGATCCTCAGTGAAGACAAGTGAAATCTGTACTGTAACATGGACTAGCATTCAGGAACAATTTACTACTGAGCAGTGGATGATCTAAATGCTGCCATTGCTTTCTTGATCCATGACATGCCTTAACATTGCCTTTGGAAGTCTAACTCTAGGAAATATTTTCAGGTAAGATTTTAAAGAGCACTGTCTCCTGGAGGAAAGGGCTCTTTCTGATAGTGCCTTTAGCATGTCTGTCCCTGTGCTTTGTCTGCCAGAGACAGGAGACCTCATCCCTGCCCCCCCAGACATGGCTTTGGGCAGCAGAATGCACTCACAAGAGAAACCCCAGGTAGCAGCTCACCTCACTGCTGTAGTGGCAATTATTCCTCAATTTGATGCTGAGTAGTGTTTGAAATTTCACCAAGATACATCTTGCTGATCCATCAGCTCCACTTATGGCACTGTGGTAGGGGAGCTCACAGAGCCCCAGGTAGCTTGCATGCCCCACATTGTGAGCTCATAGACAAATGTGCCAGCTGCAGCTGTCCAGTGACAAGGGAGAAGACTCCACTTCCGCCTCACCACCACATCTGGCTGGATGATGATGTCATTCTTCTCTCCTATTCATTTTTTCTGGGGTTGTTTTGTTTGTTTGTTTGTTGGCTTTTTTGGTCCCAGGTAGGTGACCAGAAAGAGTGTCAGCAAGCAGTAAATGTGGTGCATGTCACCCAGATATTCCATTTACCAGGGCATTGCAAAACAGCAATGTTGGTCCACATGAATCCAGAGAGCTTTGGGCCCGCATTCAAACCTGACATTTCCCTAACATCTAAGAGCTCATATCAATAAGATATTGGCAGACACACTCTTCTTCAACTCATTAACCATAAGGAGTTTTTAACTCATTTCCTGAAGCTGTAATTTACATTGCATTAACAAGGAGAGATGAAATATGTAGGTATGCATAGAGTTAAACAGGTCTCAGGATTTAATAGGTTTCAACAAGGAATCACTATTGAAGAAGAGAGGATATTAATACATTCTGGTATATAAGCACGCACGAAGACGATGGAAATAGGGAATTCTGTGAAGGGAAATACAAAAACCATTGACTGGACCACTGACCACAATTGGATTATGACAATATCCACTAAGTAAAGAAGATCCACAACTCTCTGTTAAAAAGACCACAATTTCCTTCTCCGATTTATTTTCAGACCTACTATTCCTAATAGCAACAATAATTCCTGTCCACAAGAGTAATGCCAGCTAATAGGTTTTGTGGCTGGTCTATTCTGAAAGATAATAAGAATGACAATATTTTGAATTTGCCACATCCTATCATTATTCAGAGGGAGCAAGGATCCCTTAACTATCAAAGCTATTTCAAGTGGAAGTGAGGGAAATAAAAACACAATGTAGATTTCTCCAGTGGCAGTCAGAGAGAAAAGATTCAAAGCTGAAAATTCATTGCACATTCTTTAGATGAGTCACAGAAATCCAAAATAACCACAAAATTATATGAAAGCTTTTTTAAAAAAAGAACAAATTCATCTCTAGGAAACAATCTCAGGGAAATTATTCCAGGAAATAATTTGTTCACTATACATTCAGCATTGCGTGTCACATGGTTTAATTATAGGAATGCAGGCAACATAGGAATTAGATGGTCTTTTCAAGCCTGTGAGGAGTGTGAACAAAGAATATAATTACACATCGAGCCCGGTGATTAACCAATTACTAGTTAAAGCAGATTTAGACTTTAAATTAATTTGGCTCTGAATTCTGGGGATTTGGAGGCTAAGATAAACAGTGTTTGAAGATTAATTATCCTTGTTTAAGATGAAGGAACTAATTTCAATTTTGTTAGCATGTCGAAAGACTCTGGCTGCTGCATGGGAGAGGGTAGACTGCAAATCTATTGAACGGATTGATTAAAGTGAATTCTGAAGCTCCTAATCACTCTAATCCTCACAGAGAGTGGTGATATTACGGACTATAATGTGGAAGGCCAAATTAATGTTTAAATGAAAAACAGACCAACATTTACCTAGAGGAGAGAGAGCACTGTTTCCAAAGGACTGAGAAAGTCCTACCAAAAAGTCACATAGGCAGTAGAGAGGAGACACTGGAGCACAGCTCTTTGTGCATCTTTGTCCAAAGATTAATAACAGGAAAAGAAAGGCACTGTTGTGGTACCTGTCATTTTTCCTGTGTAGTGTCAGTAACAATTCACAGTATCATGATAGAATTTCACAGGAGTTGTAACACTGTAGTACTGCCAAAAGTTCAGCTATGGAATTCTGTAAAGCAAAAACTTCTCGTTTTGATTGCTATTCCAGAGTGTGTGTAAGTTTCAGCATGGCTAGCAAGGTATTCTACTGCCTGAAGTCCTATGGTGTGCAGGACAGTGTTCACACCGTGTTCTTTCTAAGTCCCCCAAGCCAGTTTCTCCCTGGCCATTGTTGTCTCCTCCATGAACTGCCCCTGAGCTGCAACTATCAGGAGTCAACCTTTGGTTTCATGCCAGCAGCACAGAATTATAGAATCAGGGAATATCCCAAGTTGGACGGGCTATCAAATCCAATTCCTGGCTCCTAGTTCCTCCACCTTGGAAGAGAAGGATTTCCCCAGCAAAGCCTTGTCTAAATGCTGAATGCTTTATGTATATGTGATTAAATGCAATCAACAAATTCCTTGAGCATCTTTCAGGAAGCTCCTGCAGAGCACAGTTCTACCACTGCCTGCTGAGTACCAACTTCATCTCAAAATGAAGTATTGCCTAGCGCAGTTCAGTGTTGAACATTCCTTAGCATATTTCCACCAAAGTCAGCATAAGGCATTGCAGTTCACAAGAACGAGCAGAAGGGCCACATTCTGTTTTTAAAACTAAAAGCCATAGATTTGGAACTATGTTACATGTTGAATTGCAGAGAAAGACAGCCTACAACTCAGACAGGACAGTAATATAGATGTAAGGTTGTAGACAGTGGTGAAATAGATGAAAGGTTACAGCTTGCCTGCAGAAAAAAAAGCAGGTCCAATGGGGTTTCCAGAGTTCAGAGAAGAGCAGCAGATCTTGCAGCATCTGAAACTGCATGGAAAGGAGCAAAAAGCATCTGCATCTTGCACAGACTAGCTTCCAGCTTGTGTTTAGTATGACTTGTATGCTCCTGTCTTGAGCCAGCAAGTGGCCATGCAGCAACCTGAGCTGGGAAAGGAGCTGCAAGCCCTGGGCATCAGCATTGAAGCTGACATTGCTGCCCTTAAGCAGAGTGCAATATTTCTCTTGTCTCATTTTCTCAATGGTACTGGTCATGGAAATAGTAGATAAGGTTTTATCTGTGCAGGGCCTAGACATTTTCCTTGAGTAAGCAGCAAAACGTGTGTGTACAGTTTCTTTCACTGAAAACTCTTTCCTTCAAACAGATTGGTGCTGTCATGTCTAGTGCAAACAAATACCCATAAGCATGAGATACTCCAGTGTGAACTGTCATGATGTACAGGTAAACCTGGAGCCCTGGATTTATTCCCTTAAAGGCTGACATTGCCCTTCAGCCACCAGAAGATGATTAATGGCCTTTTAAGCCATGTGAGCATGTACATGTTCTAGACACTAAAAAATGTCTAGAAATATCTGGTGCACAATCTTGTGGGATCTTACATCATTTTCATAAGAGGAGTGATTTAAATGTACTCTTGGCTAAAATTATTAATTTTTATAATATTACTATCTTTATTAGTTGAATTTCAGAATGATTCAGAATCCAGTCCTGGAGGAAACCTGCCATGGTTTTATGATTTTTGGTTATTGGTATTCCACATCATAACATCATATAGTGCACTGGGAGTGAAAGTGTTAATGTTCCAGTTCTAGGCACCTGTCCCAGAAGAGAACTGCTTGCCCAGAAGACTGTTTGCTGTGTTGTTATCATTTCTGCTCAGGGGGAACAGATATAAGGCCTTGGTAGGTCACCTGATGCGCTCTTCTTTGTCAGGCTCTCCTCCCTGCTGCTCAACTGGACTGCGCATCTCACCTCAGTGTTATGGTGAGGCCTACCCACCTTTCGGACACTCTCATATTTGATTTATTAGCTTCAATTCTCATTATGTTGTATTATAGTGTGTTATCTTGCATTCCGATACTATATTTAGTAAATTAGTTTGTTTCTGCTCAGATCATTGCCCTACTTTTAATTATTTTGGAGTCCCCCTGTTTCCCTTTTCTGGAGGCGCAGATTCGCAAAATCCCTCCACCCCAGTAGTCACAGAACTGGGCCAAGCAGCCCATAAACCGTTATGGTAAGTGCTGCACAAACACATGTCTATATGCCCTAGCTCCCAGCTGCGAGAAATTGCATTGCCTCCTCTTCTGCTTCCAGACACCAGGGATCTGTCTTTCATCATGCATGCACAAACTATAGATTTCAGGTGAAACTTCAGCTGAGCTACAGGATGACAGAAAAGAGGCATATATTTCTGTGTGAGAATGCTGACAGAATTACTGAGATCACCTCTGAGGAGAAGGACTGGGGTTGGTTGATGAGAAATTCAACATGAAGCAGCAGTGTGCACTAGCAGCCCAGAAGTCAATCAGTATTATGGCCAGCAGAGCAAGGAAGGTGATTAACCCCTCTGCTCTACCCTCATAAGGCCCCATCTGGAGTACTGCATACAGGCCAGGGGCTCCCAGCACAAGAAAGACACAAAACTCCTGGAGTGGGTCCAGAGGAGGGCCACTAAGATGATCAGAGGGCTGGAACAGCTCTCCTACAAATAAAAGGATGAGGAAGCTGGGTTTGTCCAGCCTGGAGAAGAGAAGGCTCGTGGGAGACCTCATTGCAGCCTTTAAATACTTAAAAGGAGCTTATAATCAGGAAGGAGACTGACTTTTTATATAGTCTGATAATGATAGGACAAGGGTGAATGGTGTTAAACTAAAAGTGGGTGTTGAGGCCCTGGCACAGACTGCCCAGAGAAGCTGTGGATGCCCCATCTCTGGACATGTTCAGAGCTAGGTTGGATGGGGTTGTGGTCAGCCTGATCTGGTGGCCGGCAGCTGTGCCCATGGCTGGCAGTTGGAACTAGGAGGACTTTAAGGTCCTTTCCAACAAATCATTCTATGATTCTGTGATATCTAGAGCACCAGCATCACTTCAAGTGTGTATTTAAAATCAATTTTTTTTTTTTAATGTCCAGTGAGATAATTCATTTTGCCCCAGGGTTTCCTGCATAGTGCATTGCAGCCTTTTGCTGCAGCCAGTATGTGACTTTGGCTTCTGTGGTCTCTTAGGGACAGAAAGCTACACTGCCCTTATCAGACCATCTCTGCTCTAGTAGTCAAGGTATTAATGTGTAACCTCAGCTGGCTCTTGCAAATTTGAGGTTTACATTTTTGCTTTTCCTTGTTAAGAAACATTGTGAGTTTCAGATATTGAAGGCTTGTGTTTGCTTGCCTATGAGATACGAGGTCACTAACTCAGATTCAGTGGGCAAGTAAACTTGTGACCTTGTGCTAAAAATTAATAAACAA